TGTGCAATACAGGGATATTATGGGGAAAGCTGTTGATAAGAGCAACAGTGAAAATGGATGTCTGGTTTCAAGCCTATCTGTCCTACAACCTTCAGGGCCTGCCAGGGGACGTGTTTCCTGGGCTGTGAAAAACCAATATGGGACACAATCATATATCAGTGATTATATCGATCATTGTCTCAGACCCATTCAGTCCAAGGACACCAGCACCTTTTGGAGAGGAAGTGTTGCTCCTGCTCTGGGAGTCTGGGGAGAGTGTTGAATGCATGGCAGTGATGCTGTGCAAGGGGAAGTGACTCCCCTTTAGGGAATGCTGGGTGCATACTTGAACCAATTAGTAGAATGGAGCTGAGCAAAGTACAGAAGGGATCAGACTGATAATAAGCAAAATGCTCAAATATGGGAAGTTGGGGAAGAAGCCAAATGAAAATGAAATGAAAGGCTAAGGTCCAACTTCAGCAGTTGTGCAGAAAGGATGGGACAGCTGATAATAGGAAAGCCTGCAGGAACAATGGGTCAAACCCCTACGCAAGAGACTGAAGGAATCTGTGAACAAGCCAAGTGGGGGCAGGGGGATTTTATCGAAAAGCATTTCAGCAAATTAAAGCTGTTGGCTTGCTTACCACTATCGAGACCTAAGTCCCTCACTGTGACCTCATTGCTCAGTGCTTTGTGGGGATGGCCAGTTGAGAAGTGCATGGGTTAGTCAGGTTCTGTCTCAGAGGAGCAGCAAGGGTCTTCTTGGCAGACCTTTGCATGGGGGGAATGCTTCCCACCAACTTTACTGCTATGGAGGGGCTGAGAGCATTTGCTCTATCCCTTAATTCAGAGCTGATGAGAATTGTCTTTGGGGATAACCTTAAACCCCTCTTTTATGAAGGTGAAATCAGAAACCCGTAGCTGAGCCTCTTCCTTGGCAGTCTTTCCTAGTCTTGGAAATCCACGGAAGACTCAAGAGACGAAAACCAATTTCTGACTGCAGACGAACTCCATAAAGACCACTTGAAGGTAGATGATGTGATGAAAAACATCCCAAAAACTGTAAGTCTGCATCTAAGAAAATTATTTTCTTACAAAGAAAGTAATTCTAGATCCCTCTAGTTCACATAAGGCAGCGGGGATTCCTTTCACAGACACGTTGATTAAGGTAGGCATTACATGATCACCTTTGGGTGAGAACCTCGGGTCTTGCTAGTTGGAGGTAAGGCTCCTCTTTTTCTTGGCTCTCCATATCCCCATGTGTACAAAAAGAATAGGGATATACCTTCTTGGTAAATCATCTGAAAATGGACTTGCTACGAAAGACAGCCCATCCTGCTAGCGGCGAAGAGGTCCCATTTGGAGGCTTGACTTGTGAGATCTCATGGAGAATCTATGGAATACAGTCATGAGTTCGTACCTCTAATGTGGCTTTCTCTTTACAAAAGTACTGCACGGAATGTGAGACTCACTAGATAAAAGTGAATTTAACAGCTATTTTGTATCCTTTGAGGAACATCAGTGCTGGTTGAAAGAGGGGAAAAAAACCTTTTTGTTGAGTCTGGAATGGACCTGCTTTTATTGAAGGACTCTGCAACTGCTTTTGTTGCTATTTCCGCTGATAGCTTTTACCTGACTTGTTTTCAAAATCCTTGTTGAATTTTTTTTTCTGTCCACAAAAAACTGCATTTCCTTGCTGAAATTCAAGTTGGGGGTCTGGAAAAACGTCCTAAATGATTTTGCAGATGTCTTGTTCTGAGGTACAACTCCCAGAAATAGGGCATTCTGTAAGGGAAGTCACCTGTTTATTTCCAGGAGGGTAGACAATTTATTTTAAACAATGCCATTTTCTTTTCAATTATAGACGCTTTTGTGGAAAAAAAATTCCAACAGTCTCTAAGAAAGAGCACGTGATCACAATTAAAGGATGTGCTGTACTGTATCAGAAGGTAGCATTTAAACCAGGGAAAGCCTGAATATTGGCTATAACTCATTGTAATTATACCATCTATTTCAAACATGTAAATATGTTTGGTAGCACTTACATGTTTATGTCAGCTATTGGGAAAAGATGTTTTTCTTTTTGGTAAACTTCTGATGGTAAGAATTTTGTTCCTTGCATTCAAATAAATAACAAACAAGCTTACACACCACAAATTTTTGTGTGAACAGAACTTGGTCCCCTCTTTTGTGGTTGTAGGATAGTACTCGTGTTTGGGTTATTTATAATAATTTCATGAATAGGTAATATCAATAAGCAACATATTAATTAAGACATATATTTCTCAGTAGGATAAAACATGACCGTGGCAAAGTCAGTGTGATGCAGGGGATTGAACATGAGGCTGGGAATGGGGTGAGTAGGAATCTAATTCTGGCTCTTTCCACCCTAACTGGGGTCAGGGGTATTTAGCTCATTTTGGAAGGGCTTGGAGATCTGCAGGTTGAGATCCCTCCAGAAGACCCAGGTGCTTTCCTAAAGTCTAACACACAAGCCCTGCAAAAACCTGAAGGCTGATTTAACCTGGCATTGGAAGTGAAGCTGCATCTCTGCTCGAATTGATGAGAAAACTCCCTTTGCTTCTGGGGATTGGGATCCTTTGCTAGGAGAAATCATTCTGAGCCTATTTCCCGTCCCTTTGACATTTTCTGTCTTATCAAAAGCCAAAGGAGTAAGGAAGAAGGTTAATGACTAAATTGACAAATAAACAATCAGTTCAAAGCAGCAACACGACATTTCCTGGAAAATTTAAGAACCTCCTCTGAAAATCAGTTAGGAATGTAAATGCTGCCACGCTCCAACTCAGGGGAGGCTATCCGTACGGAGCTCATTGTGTTACAGGGGCTGAGAAATAGGAAGGGCTTTGGGTTTTCCATGGAAATTTTTTCTTTAGAGGAAAATTGCAGAAGAGGGAGGAAAATTAATTTGATCATGGCGAACAGGGAAGGGTACGGCCACAGAAGTGTCTTAAGTAGAGCCCCTCCTGTGGTGTGAGGTACGATCTGTACGATGTCTGGCTCTGGGATGTCAGGTTTGGGGCAGTAAAGGGAGAGAGTCCATGGCTGTCCTAGCAAAAGGAAGTGTTTAAGGAGCCTCAGGTCAGAAAACTGCTTCTCATTCCATGGCGGCATGAGCGTTGAGGGATGGTGACAGTGGGATGCTTCCCTCGCGGTCAGAGAATGAGAGTGTGTTTGGCCTTTGTTTCCAAGGGCTCCACTTTGCCATTAACAGCGGCTTGATTTTCATTTAATAAATAATAGGAATCATACTGTGACGGAGCCAAGATTTTAAACAAGAGGCTCCCATAAACATTTTTCTTCAGGAATCTGTGATAAACCAAAGATAGTGTTAGATGTACTCGGGGGGAGTGGGGAGGCCAGACTTGGAAGCTGTCCATCTGCTTCGCCATTGAAACAAAACCACTTTATAATAACCACAGAGGAGAGGAAGCGATGCAGCTTGGCACATACACTTACACTATGTGTGGTGGAAATGTTTATTCTTTATTTCAGAAAGATTTAGTGGGTGTAGAGATAATAGAGCATAGTGCTCACTTGTGTCTTGGGGAAGGAGGGGTGATGGTGTTTGGGTTTTAAGGGAGTCCAGTGTCGGCTCCCATGGGGAATATTTTCGGTAATACCTATTGCAGTCTCATGCACTGGGAAGGCAGGAAGAGACAGAGGAATGAAATGTGCTTTTCAGGAGAGGTGTTGTAAAGGCCCCAGGATTAGTTATCTCTGACAGGAAGGATTTTACAGCAGACAGCAGAGGCAGTCCTGGCCATTTCTGCATTGGCATATAGCTCTTCCAAGGCCCTGTGCTGGGATGCTTCCTTTGGAGCTGCTCAGGTTGCTCTGCCCTGCTCTCTCTGAGATGCCATGGGGCTGCCTGGGGCTCACCAACCCCATGTGTGCCACATATCCCTACCCATGCCAGATCCCCAAAGGACATTCTGGCTCCTGCACTCTCCTGTGTGCTGAGGCACCGCATTGTGACTTGGAAAATGGAGAATGATCTTCTAAACAAGGGTCAGCAGGGTCAGCAGGCCACTAAATCCCATGGTCCCCAATGTCCCTGTCATCCATCGTGCTCCCTTTTCCACTGTGCACATTCAGCTCTGCTGCACTGCCTCTCCTCGGAGCTGCTCAAAATCAAGCTCAAAAGACCCTGGGCTGACCCCTGGGGGTGGGAGAACCCCTGCCAGGGTTTGAGACAGCAAATGTCTAGACTTGGTGTGTGAGCAAGCAAGGGAAGGCATGACTAAGTGTCTGAAAGTTTGGACCTCTGCAGAGGAGTCCCTTGGCTCTTTGTTTCTTGGATACAGTTCTATTTCCTGTGGAGCCGTGGAGATAAAGGATATTTTTTATCCCTTTTTTTTTTTCCTTTTCAAAAAAGTAGGAAATGTATAGATATGTCTTGGGTGAGAAAGCAGAAACCCTTGAAAAATTCTGGCAAATCAAGACACATGAAGAATGTGTTGAGTGAAACATTTCAGAGCGACAAAAATCAAAATATCTCACTTCGCCTTCAACCGCTTTACAACATTTTAATGGTTCTAAAGGAAATTTCAAAACTAAAAGTCGTGTTTTGCTTAAAACACTGGAAAGTGTTTCATTAAAAAGGAAGAGTGGAAGCAAAACAATTGCCTTATATATTTTTTCTTTCCAATGAACCTGATGGGTCTTTCCCCAAGTGGTGCTGAGGGCAAGGAACCAGGGCTAGGTGCATCTTCCCTTGTGTCATAATGGGCCTGGAGCTGGCATTCCAAGAAAGGGACAATCTGAAGCTGTTTGCCACGCAAGAAACTCTTCTATCACCGTAACTCTTTTATTTATTCTTTTTTTGTATACAAATTTGCAGGCCAGCCCAGTCCCATGGCCATGCCTGCTGACATACTGAGGTCTTTGTGGCAACAGGACAGATCCCAGGGAAGGCAGAAAGGGGCTGTGGAAGTCTGTTCTTTCCAGAGTGCTGTGACATGTAGGTTGGAATGGTGGTCTTGGTGGCCTTGGGACCTCTGCCAGCTGTTCCTGCACTGTTTGGGCAGGGGAGGGGCCATCAGGTGTGGGATGTGGCACCGCTGGCTTGTGTGATGTGCTTGGGGAAGCTCTGCATGGGTCAGGGAAGAGGAAGGAGAGAACCGCAGAATCAGTCAAGTAAGAAGGGACCACAGCGGGTCGTCTGGTCCAAGATTTAGTGAGAGAAACAGCACCATGAGGACACATCAGTGGCCGAGGTGAGTGGGAAGGATCTCCCTGGTGGCTACAGCAGAGGGGGGACCCTGCTCCGTCCTGGGAGAGGTCGGGACAGCGTCGGGAGTCAGAACCAGCTGGATGGCTGGGGGGCAGCGGGGAGGCACAGAGGCTGCCCGGGGGGCATCAGA